CTGATCCGGATCCGGATCAGCAAGCTAGAAAATATATTAAAAAAAAAGCTAAAATCTTGCTAAAAAATATATTAAAAAAAGAAACTAAAATGCAATATTATATAGTATATAATATGAGAACTTAGGTCTTGAAGTAAACGTAACAAGAGAATCGAGGATTGAGATAGATGAACATAAAAAAACTTCGAGTCTTGAAAATAATGCATCTTATAATGCATTATCTAGACAGTCAATTTTCTAGATTTTCAATGTTCATAGATATACTTGATCTATACTATTTTTAAAGCATTAAATTTTATAATTAGGGATGCAAATAAATTTCAAGCTAATCATAGAAATTTTCGGTATTGAAACAACATATTTAGACACTAAGGCACACCTCACTTTGACTGTTTAGGGCCTCAGCCTTGTACAAACATCGGCCTTGTTTCGGGCCTCAGCCTTACTAGGACTTACAAATAGTGATGGATATTTCAAATAAGAAACATTGTATGAGCAGACTGATAACAAATATGATTCTTTTGTTTATAGGATTGTATACTATAAGACAAGTTACCTATGTTACAAGGAGATCATATTTAGTCATAGCCATTAGATGCTAAATTGGATGGTTTATTAAGTGTGTTAGAATTTTTTTTTTTTTTTTAAAAAAGAATTTGAATCTAATCAATGACATTCTCGCAACCACCCGATTCAAAATCTTTAGAACCTCCTTGTGCTAAAACGATAGTCTCTTTGTATATACTTTTTTGTATTTTGTTATCCTTCTAATCCTTGATACATTTCTTAGGGGGTAAATCAGCGGGAGGGAAGGGAACGCCATCCATTTCCATTAATATGGGGAAGATACATAAAGTGCATTACACCACCATTTACATGGGTAAACACTTGATAGGATACATCAGCGGCATCTCGACATGGTGCGCGTAGAGACTAGAGAGAGAGACGAATGGAACACTGAATTTGAGCCCGCAACGGAATGGTTGACGTAGCTCTATACAAGATTGGGCCCATGCAAACACTACAAAAAGGATGAAAGTATTCGACCAAGCTCAAGGGCATTGGACTGTGCAGCAAGGGCAGTACATAGTAGGTGTATCTCAGACCGTTGCACTGAAGAAACTCAGAATAGAGAGAGAGAGAGAGAGAGATTTCCTAACTTACAAAAAAATGGGTTAGAAGTTATGAAAAGGCAGGATTAACAAGGTGTAGACCTCCTGCTGCTGCTGCTGCACACGAGCTTGTTTTGCTGAACATCGCACTCTGCATGACAAGAACCAGCCTTTTCTCTCAGCTCCTGAAACGCTCGCATGGTGTCGACATCAAAACCTCCTGCAAACTGTTGAAACATGAAAGAAACACCTGAGTAAAAAGCAAGAATAAATGTTTCTAAGACAGTTTGAGAGAGAGAGAGAGAGCAGTCAAAACAAGCTCACCTGATGCACCCTGAAAGCAAATCGGACGCCGTGCACAATCAACTCCTCTTTCTCTTCAGGACTCATGGCAGCTCCCAGTTCAGAAGCCACCCTTTTGATATATTTCTTTGCCAATTTCACTGATGCAAGCTTGATCTTCACAGAACATGCACATAACAGTTTATTCACGTCAACAAAAAATATATGGCAACTCAGCCCAAATAATTAGTCCCTAGTTTTAGAAGCATACAGGGTACTCCAGCAAATGCACACTCTAAACTATCTCCCTCGGGCAAAAAAACCGCATAGGAGGATTTTGTCGAACTGATATGGCCTTCACTTTACAATCACCAAATAAGTATTGGCAACAAAATAGCATTGTCAAAGGAAACAAATTTTGAGGTTCTGTACACTCATCTGGCTGTCCGACATTTGGGTACTTCCTATCAATGTTAGGACTTTTTTTTATGCACCCATAGATGGCGTTATTTTGTTTCTGTTTTTTGAAGGCTAGTCAGTCAGTAGGTTGAGGTGGTTAAACCCCGGTGTCCTGAAAATACTCATCATAGATACGGATTTTACCTGGGCGAGTGAATGTACAATATGCTCCCGCAGGAGCATATAATTTTTTTTTTTACCAAATTCCATCAAATTTTGGTAGGGCACATAAGCACTTGGCCAAAAATCAGGGCTAGAGAATTTTAAACATGCAACTATACACCATAGTCAAATGGATTATAACATTCAACGTTAATATACCCTGTTTTTTTTTTTCTTTTTTGACAAAGTTACATAGGAATGGAACTTCAGACGTAGTCCAAAAAAAACCCAGCTGCTACTGCCTTGGCCCAAGCCTGATTCCTAATGTTAAGACACCCTGTTTGTAATTGTAGTGGATCACCATCAGGACATAAACCCAGGTATTCTCCAACCATCATCTGCAGGAACAGAGTGAAAGAAACTTACGAGGAACCATGGTCCATGGTAATGATGTATTATGCCATACCTTCCAAATCCAAAGATTTGAAACAAATATTTGCTGAAAGGGTGAATCAAATGTAAAACTTTCGTACCCTTTGTTCTCTATGAAGTAGAAGTCTAGATTGTAAAAAGGAAAGCTTGGTAGGAGTCTTTTAGTAGAAGTGGGAAAAAGTGTAATGGTGCCTTTGACGACTTTGGGGGTGTGAAATTCAATAGCTTGGTAGGAGTCTTTTAGTTTCTTTGAAACTTGGAAATTGAAAAGCTGACCAGTGTAAAAATTCAATAAATGGCTAGGAGTTATTTAGGACTGAAGTGGTGATATATGAAGGGGAGTTTCTCTCGATGACTACAAGAACTGCTGTAGGATGAACTTTGAGAATGTCTCTCTAGGAGAATTGCCCCCTCGAAGGGACCTGTGCCCACTCTATCCTTATAGTTCAATAATATCTCATGCTCGTCTATCTCTGATCGTTATCTTTTGCTTGCTTCTTCTTGGGAATCATTGCATCTGGTAACAGAGCTCAACCATGGATCTTCTGCTCAACCAGGGCCAAGGGAACTAATCGCAAGAAGTAAGAAAGAGCAAGAGATGAAGAAGTCTCAACTCATTTGGAGACATCCTGACCACGATATAAGCCATGGTCCGAAAGTATAACTCGATTTTGACCTCCTTCCTAACGTCCAACAGGAAGTCGACATTCCTAATCACCCATGAACAAAACGGTGATCATTTAGGAAGCCCACATCAAACTTCCACCGAAAACAAAAAACGAAAGGGGGACCCAACAAGTGTGTATCATGAGGAAGAACAAACGGCCCATTTGGCATCCTTTCAGTTGGAGCATGAAGCAATATGATGGTACCAATGGTAATGAAGGACCAACAGTTACTATAATATGAGCAATGATCTCTACAATAAGTTCACCCCAGGCCAAATAGAGGACATTAAAAAGAGCCCTAACGAAGCAAAATGACAAACCTCCACTGTTCATGAAAATCAGATAGGTTAGCAAATAGTACCATCTGTCTTAGTGATGTAGTGTTTTTATATGATTCTTAATGAATAGATTAGGCTTGACGTATGTATGTTTAAGCACAAAATATTATTGGAGGCTATTGGTTTAGCTAGACTTCAACAGGACAAAATAATGGCCCAACAATGTCAAAACAAAGGAAATTGCAGTTCCCATAACCAGAACTCTTACACAGCAACCCTTTCCACAAATCAAGTAGCATCATCGGCCTAGATGCGAGAAGGGCGAGGAATTAGTCAATGTTACCATTGTGTAAATAAAATAACCCTCAACATTGATGCAAAAATCAGAAGTTATATTTGTTGGATGCAAAAATCAGAAAGAAGGAAAACGAGAAGAAGGTGACCCACCTGTGCATAAAAGAGGTGGAGCACCTGTGGTGTCATTACATGAGCAACATTTCAACCTATTAGATGAACTGAAGGAGTTGCCTCCCCAACACTCCCATTAGCATCCAATTACTTTGTTTCCAAGAACCCCATCACCAACCTATTCGATGAACTGAACTGGAGTTGCCTCCCCAACACTTTTATTATCATCCAATTACGTTATTTTCAAGAACCCATCACCTAACATTCGGCCATATGTGGCCATTTGTACAAAAATCAAAGATTAGAAAGCAGGTCCAGAAAATGACAGAGGTAGGCATTATCCTTCTGGGTCATGTCCTTATTCCTCACAAGTGCTCTTGGTCAAAAAAAAACGGCATGAGCCCATTTGTGCAAAAAGCAAAGATTGGAAAGCAAGTCCAGAATATGACAGGGTAGGCATTATCATTCTGGGTCATGCCCCTTGTGCCTCACAAAGTGCTCTTGGTCAAACAAAAAAAAAAGGATGGCTCATGGAGAATGAAAGTGGACTGTGGACTTCAGAGCATTGGACTTAATCATGGTCAAGGATAAATTATACCAGTGATTGATGAATTACTAGGTGAGCACTATGGAGTTCAACACTTCTCCAAACTTGATCTTTGATCCCCAAAGTCTCAAACCATCAGATCCAAATAAAGGAGGAGGATATTTCGAAAAGAGTAAGTTTTCGAGACTCATTGGATTGAATGAAGTTAGTCAAGGACTATGGCAAAATCAGCTCCCTGATCAATCAAATAAGGCCTAGTTTGCCTCTAATGCCTTGAAGAGAGAGAAGAGCACTGTAGTTGTATCAGCCTTGCAATACTTCTCAAACCCATTCATCATTGAGCCATACGGATTAGGGACAAAAGAGGCATGGTATCCATATAAAAGGGGCAACCCTTGGCTTGCATTCGTAAGGCTCTTTCTGGAAACAGCACAACACTTTCCACATTGATATAGAATATATTTGTTGGAGGCGGGAGTGGGTTCGGGAGTAGAAGCGGGATTGGTTCGAGGAACACCGAACCCCCACAGGGTGGAAGCTCCATATGGTTAGGATCGGCGTATATACATTCAACATGTTAAGGAGCTAGATCCTAGGATACCTGAGAGTGAGATCCTATGTCATTGGGTTCAAGGTTTTGACTTGGAGGGATCTAAGCTCCACTACACATAAAAAGATATCAATTAATAGCATATGATAAAATTAGGATCGAGCTAATGCTTGCTGAATCCTTTATCATACACCTTTGCTTATTACTAATGCCATAGTCATAGTACTCCAATTTACTACAATAACATAGTTTAACGATATCACAAATTGGCTTACTATGTTATTAACATATAGTTTTTTAATACCATAATTCCAGTATACCACAATGTGATATGCACCATAGTTTAATATTATATCTCACCTCCTTGAAGGGATTCTACAATCATGAAAACCGATATCCCATTTCATAAGGAGCAAGATCCCTATATCTCTAAATCCAGCTCCCTTTAAGATCCCTCAAAGGAACAACGAGATCGAGTTCTTATGGTGGGACCGTGGCCTTAACCCCAAGGTTCCCACAACTATGATATAGAACTGCCAACCATTATTCATGTAGTTACCAAATGGAAGCCTTACTTAGTCGACTAATAGAGCCTCATATCATTCATCATTCATACCTATCATCAGGGCATAAAATATTTCTTGGAACAAAGAACCTCTAAATGATGGAGACAAAAGTAGGTCAGAAGGGCTACACGACTATGAGAGGAAAGGAGAATGTGGTGGCTGATGCTCACTCGCAACATCACAAAGTGGCAGCTACTCTCCTTGCTGTGTATCAAAGCCTCGATCTCTTCGAATGGAAGAAATTAAGTAAGAATGGGCAGTTGATGGAACTTTAAGGGACCTTGCACAAGACCTGCAAATAGAACCCATAGGAAGGCAAGGCCCAATTGCAGTTGGAGGAATGAAGGGTAGAATGGTGTTGCCACCTAAATCCCTCTATAGAAACATATTGTTCAAGGAGCTACAAAAGATCCCCTATTGCGAGCCATTCAGCATTCCCCAAAATTTAGAAGAGAAGGTTTAAGTCCTTTTATTGGAGAGGGATCAAGCGACACATACAAATCTGTAGTTGAATGTGACGTGTGTCAGAGGCAAAAGAGAGAGATAGTAGGGTCCCCAAGTATATTATAACCCCTCCATATTCCCACATAGACTGGAGTGATATCTCAATGGACTTCATGAACAGTGTCGAAACTCACATGGGAAGACAATAATTATCTTCATAGTGGCAGATCAGTTGAGCAAGCATGCCCACTTCCTGTTAGGATATGGATTTCTCGGGTACTTCTTGATGTAAACATTCATCGAAAAATAGTGAAGATGTAGCCCGTTGGGCTTTGGATCCGTTGACGTAAGTCTTGGGCCTGAACCACGCAAATGTCGTGTTCTCTCTTCTTCTCTCTCCACTCTCCATTCTATGCTCTCACAAATTCTAACATGGTATCAGAGCCAGGTTGATCTATCCGTAGCGATTCATTGCTCAACGGGGGTTGCTTCATCTCTCTAGATCATAGTCCATGTTATGTAGATTCGTCAACGAGTTGAAGCTAAGGGTTCAGTGGCCATCGTTACGTTCATTTTTTTGAAAGACCCCTTCGAAACTTAAAATAAAACAGGTAGCAAATCCTGTTGCATCAACGTCACGGTGCAAGGCCACTGTGCATGTTCCGTGAGTTTTTGCTTTTGCCGTGAGTTTTGTTTTTGGCCCGTGGAGGTTATGCAAACTGATGCACATGATTTCTCTTGAATCGTGCAAAAGGTTTTTGTAATTTTGAGGCCACGTTTTCTCTTATACGGTGCAAATTCTGGATCAGTCAAACTACTATGCAAAGAGAAGTTATGGTTGATGATCAAGAGTTCTGTCTCCAAAGGAGGAGATGAAGATAATTGAATTTTTCGATCCTGGTTGATGATCAAGTTTTCCGTTACTTGATCTCGTTTGATGATGTTGTTTTCTGTTACTCCATCCT